CAGACAGACAGACAGGGAAGTACCCGCCCCACCCCAACAACCAGACAGACAGACAGACAGACAGGGAAGTACCCGCCCCACCCCCACAACCAGACAGACAGACAGACAGACAGACAGGGAAGTACCCGCCCCACCCAACAACCAGACAGACAGACAGACAGACAGACAGACAGACAGACAGACAGACAGGGAAGTACCCGCCCCACCCCAACAACCAGACAGACGCACCCACCACCTGACCAATACCACCTCTGACGTCACACGCCGCCTGCCCTTTAAATGCCACAAGAAATCTGTGCCTAAACCATGGGAAAATCTCACCAAGCCTACCCCCCCCCCCCGCGTACCTGAACACCCGAATCAAGGTGAGTGAGACGGGAATCAAAGTGAGAGAGAGACAGGAATCAAAGTGAGAGAGAGACAGGAATCAAAGTGAGAGAGAGACGGGAATCAAAGTGAGAGAGAGACGGGAATCAAAGTGAGAGAGAGACGGGAATCAAAGTGAGAGAGAGACGGGAATCAAAGTGAGAGAGAGACAGGAATCAAAGTGAGAGAGAGACGGGAATCAAAGTGAGAGAGACGGGAATCAAAGTGAGAGAGACGGGAATCAAAGTGAGAGAGAATGGAATCAAAGTGAGAGAGACGGGAATCAAAGTGAGAGAGACAGGAATCAAAGTGAGAGAGACAGGAATCAAAGTGAGAGAGACGGGAATCAAAGTGAGAGAGAGACAGGAATCAAAGTGAGAGAGACAGGAATCAAAGTGAGAGAGACAGGAATCAAAGTGAGAGAGACAGGAATCAAAGTGAGAGAGACGGGAATCAAAGTGAGAGAGACAGGAATCAAAGTGAGAGACAGGAATCAAAGTGAGAGAGAGACGGGAATCAAAGTGAGAGAGACAGGAATCAAAGTGAGAGAGACAGGAATCAAAGTGAGAGAGACAGGAATCAAAGTGAGAGAGACGGGAATCAAAGTGAGAGAGACGGGAATCAAAGTGAGAGAGACGGGAATCAAAGTGAGAGAGACAGGAATCAAAGTGAGAGAGACAGGAATCAAAGTGAGAGAGAGACGGGAATCAAAGTGAGAGAGAGAGACAGGAATCAAAGTGAGAGAGAGACAGGAATCAAAGTGAGAGAGAGACAGGTATCAAGATGACAGCAAAATATTAACCAAGGTTGAACGAGATACAAATCACGTTGACACGTGAATGAAACATGAACCAAAGTGTGAACAACATGAACCAAGGTGTGAGCAACATGAACCAAGGTGTGAGCAACATGAACCAAGGTGTGAGCAACATGAACCAAGGTGTGAACAACATGAACCAAGGTGTGAACAACATGAACCAAGGTGTGAACAACATGAACCAAGGTGTGAACAACATGAACCAAGGTGTGAGCAACATGAACCAAGGTGTGAGCAACATGAATATGTAGGCGCGACGCAAATCTAGGTAAACTGTGAACCAGGGGCTCAGACAACTAGGGGGTATGACCACCATATCATGCCCTCAGCCCCCTTCAACACGGGGGCTGAGGGCATGAACGTAATATAACACAAACGGTTCAGTTTGTTAGGAAACAATTACAAAATAAGGAACAGGAGGCAGGCACGACAGGCATGGCAAGGGAAGGGGGGGGAGGAAGAGTTGGGGGTGGGATAGGAGGAGGAAGAAGGAGGAGGAGGATGATACAGAGGAGGCAAGCACAAAGGGGGTGGGGGGGGGGGGAAGAGGGGTAGGACGGCCATACCTGTGGGTGCTACAGCTTTCACTTTCAACAGCAAGTCTCCCCTCCATCAACTTCAACCCCTCCCGGGCGACCCCCAACACTACCTGCCCTGCCGGGGTCAAGGGGAGCCCCCAACCCCACACCTCAAGTCCTTGTCTCAATAATGCAGCCTACCCTCTCTCTCTCCCTTCCCCTCTCCTCTCATCCCACACCCCCCCTTCCTTCTTATCTTAGCGTCACCACCTTGTAGATATTTCATTTCCTGTCTCACACACACAGAGAAAAGGTTCAAAGGTTTGCCACCAGACTAGTACCCGAGCTGAGAGGTATGATCTACGAGGAGAAACTACGGGAATTATACCTCACTTCGCTGGAAGACAGAAGAGTTAGGGGGGGGACATGATTATCACATTCAAGATTCTCAAGGGAATTGATAGGGTAGATAAAGACAGGTTATTTAACACAAGGGGCACACGCACTAGGGGACACAGGTGGAAACTGAGTGACCAAATGAGCCACAGAGATAATAGAAAGAACGTTTTTTTAGTGTCAGAGTGGTTGACAAATGGAATGCATTGGGAAGTGATGTGGTGGAGGCTGACTCCATACACAGTTTCAAGTGTAGATATGATAGAGCCCAATAGGCTCAGGAACCTGTACACCTGTTGATTGACGGTTGAGAGGCGGAACCAAAGAGCCAGAGCTCAACCCTCGCAAGCACAAATAGGTGAGTACAGACAGACACACGCACACACACACACATGTAGATTCAAGTGTAAATATGATAGAGGCCAGTAGGCTCAGGAACCTGTACACCAGTTCATTGGCAGTTCAGAGGCGGGACCAAAGAGCCAGAGCTCAACCCCTGCAAGCACAACTAGGTACACACACACACCAGTTGCCCATACCCATTTCTCTCCCCCCATCAAACTCGCACTATCACCTACTGAACCTCAGCCTTGCTTCTCTCCCACATCCTCCCCGCTTTCAAGACGAGCCACAGTCGTATGGGCCGCATAGCTTACAATACACATATCTTGAGGTTATCTTGAGATGATTTCGGGGCTTTAGTGTCCCCGCGGCTCGGTCCTCGATCAGGCCTCCACCAGGCCTCCACCTACAGGAAGCAGCCCGTGACAGCTGACTAACACCCAGGTACCTATTTTACTGCTAGGTAACAGGGGCATAGGGTGAAAAAACTCTGCCCATTGTTTCTCGCCGGCGCCTGGGATCGAACTTGAGACCACAGGATCACAAGTCCAGTGTGTTGTCCGCTCAGCCGACCGGCTCCCCACTCACGCGACTCAACCCCCGCCGGAATCTAGGCATACACACCCTACATCGTGTCTTATGACGCACGACAAATAATGCTCTAGAGCAGCATCCTAAACACAAAGGCTCTACACTCGAGGGATATTCTAGTAATTTGTGCACGAGTTGAGGTCGGAAGGGGCCAGAGAAGCTTCCTCTCTAGCACCGTATCTCTGCCCTCAATCAACTGGTCAACAGAGCTGGTTGATTGACATTTTGCAACACTACACATCACTGAGCGCGCACATACAAAAGCACAGGGTATCATAATCCCCTCTACCGAAACTGATCTCAGAAATCGGCCTATTTCCTACCGAATTAACTCCCATTGTGCAGTAATCCTTTATTTAGTCTTATCGAGGTCCACCTCCGCCCCTCATCTAGGCCAGCTTTTTTTCTTATCCCCCAAGAAGTTGTATTAATGCCTGACTTGCCAGGCAGAGTATTTATAGAAATTACGAGCACCAGAAAAATATTCTCCCCAGCGACATGCGGACATCTTGGCGAGCACTCAAGAGTAACGTGGAGGATGCTGAAGACGGACCTTTAAACCACGACTACACACGAGACTGCTGCCACGGCTGACAAGCCAAACCTACCAGTAGGAACCGTCCCAGAACAAAGCATGAAACCTTGGCTAGCTACAACTAGCTAGCTCCAACAGCCTGGTTGATCAGTCCGGCAACCAGGAGGCTTGGTTGACGACCGGGCCGCGGGGACGCTAAGCCCCGGAAGCACCTCAAGGTAACCTCAAGGTAGCTAGTGTTGATAGCGGCCAGACTGAGCTTGTCTACCCTGTTAGTCCAACACCAGGAAATATTAGGAGGGGAAAACCTTGCACAAATCACCTTCGTTAACTACTGCTCTTATCAGCAAGTGGCCAGAGGTGCCACACTTTACCAATGGAGCTTAAGAGTTACGCTGTCTGAAGACTACATTGATTCCGTCAACAACATGGGGGGAAAATCCAGTCATAGATTTTCCGTAGCTTGTACACGGCCACCATTGCCTTCGTGCCTGCTAGTTACAATGTTGACGTGTAGTATAGATCTGGAGAGGTTTTGCCCCACTCCCCAAGTCCCCGCCTGGTGCCAGGCGTGTCTTGTGAGATAACGTAATCTGCAACGCTGTCACTTGCAGCCTCTCAACTCTACCCCATCTACGCTATGCTATTGCTGCAGCTTCTTCACTCCCTCCGTCATCTACGCTGATCGCTGAACATGTCCACCCTCTACACGCACTTGTGTGCATTTACGTGCGACTCAACTGGAACTACACGCACTCAAAATGAGCTTCGCCTTCTGTGTTTTGATTGATCTAGCGTGTGCAAAAAAATCAAGGTTCCGTGGCAGCATTCCACTGAACCAGCTGGATCCCGATACCGTAGTCACCTACGTCCCTAGTGAGAAAGTGCCCTCAACTTCCTTTGCGATCTTCCTGATCAACCAGGCTGTGGTGCCCACGTTTGACTGCGGGCTAATTCCAAGCCGTCAACCAGGAGGTTTGGTCACAGACCGGACACAAAGGGGAAAAGTGACCCCCCCTTGACCCACCACCTCAAGGTAACCCCGAAGGCCACTTTCTTCTATCTCGTTGTGATCAAGTCTTCTCTGGCTATCATCCTCAGCGCTGTGTGTAATGAAGTGTAGTTACAGGAAGAGAGCTACGCTCGCAGAGCGTAGTAGTCTTCCCAGTACTCTTCCCAGTATAAGCGTCATATGACGCTTGGAAGCTACTCATAAGTAGGTAGTGTGTGTGTGTGTGTGTGTGTGTGTGTGTGTGTGTGTGTGTGTGTGTTTTGAACGTTAAAAATAACGTCGGAAGTTCAATCAAAAACACAAATAATGAACGAAGAAAAAAGGCAAAAACAAAATGAATATTATCTAATCAACTATGATTAAATAATATTGAATTTAAATTCAAATGTACTCAGTAACACCCATCTTGGTGGGCGGACTAAATTAATATTACTCATCACTTACCTTTAGGGTAGTCCTCGAGGAGGAGGTGGAGATGCCCCAGCTTGCAGTAAGTCCTCGGGTCGATGCTGATGGCAGTGTCAGAAGCACTTTGGCTACTGGTGGAGGTGGTGTTAACCTTACTGGAGGAGCTGTCATCGTCCTCCTCATACTCCTGGGAGATGGCCTCCAGCAGGGTCGTGTCAGAGGGAGGGTTGTTGGAGGTGGTGGTGGAGAGATCAGTCTCCTTTTTGATGATGATGGTGGTTGTGGTGGTGGAGGTGGTGGTAGAAGTGGTGGTGGGCGATAAGGCACACTTCTTGGACTCGAGCTCCGTGCTGCCCTCATTGTTATTAGGGCGGTTGTTGTTGTTGTTGTTGGCGTGGATGATGAGGGACTCGAGGTACCGCACCGCCTTCAGCACCAGCGCCCGCCGCTTACAGTTGGCCGGGTCACTCAACTTGACGAAGCCAAACTTGCGACTGTATGGGAGAGTGCAAACACAAGAGCCCATTAGTTCATCACACCAGCCACAAACACTCATCCACCGCCTGAGTCAAACACAAATGAGTAACACTTAGTAAGCCACCCCCATAGACTTAGGGGGGGGGGGGGCCGCGCAGGAACCTCCCTGCCTGAAAAAAGTAAACACCCTCTTTCATCCCTCCCCCCCCCTTTATATGCCTAAGACCCACACTCCTAACCTCACGGGAGACATCTCCCGTCACGCAGGGTGCAGTCGCACCTCCACAGATCTCCAGTATCAGCTCTTGATACTGGTAATGGCTCAAAAGGGCCACCACTTACGGGCTATTCATGCCCGTGCCACCTTTTGGGTGGCTTAATCTTTATCAATCAATCAACTCCTAACCTCATTTGCTCGTCTAATATTATTCAATGCACTAAAACTGCAATTAAATAACGTTTGATTTGTAAATAAACAGTGGTTTACAGTCTACAATTAAAAAAAAAAAAACTGCAATAAAATGGTTGTGCATTTATAATTGACTTCATTTACAACAACTGTTAAATACATTAACAATTCATCAAAGGCAGCGGTAATAGTAACAACCCAACACTGTTCACGACGTCCACAGGAAATGCAGGGAGGGATATGCATGGTGGGAGGGAAATGGATGGACGTGTCGTGTACTGTCGTGTGAGGGGACTTTTCCATAGGGACCAACGCTCGGAGGGACTGAGAGAGGAAGAAGGATAGATGAGGAAGAAAAGGAAGAGAGGGTGAGGAGAGGGGGGGGGCATATTTGAGAGAAAGGGGGAGAAGGCGAGGGATGGAGAGGGGTCGTGGAGAATGAGGGGGGGTGAGGTAGAAAGGAAAGCAAGTAGCTTAATCTTTGCAAGTATAACCAGATGAGAGCGTACACACTCTTCACCAACTTATCTCAAAGGTTTTCATTTACATGGAAATTAATTATATATATGTGTATATATTATTGGGTACCACCTCTGGTGCAAGTGTAGGGACCCATAGCCTCGGAGAAGAAAATAAAGAGTACTCAGAGAAGACCTTGTGTGTGGATCCTCACTGAACACTTTGATATTTTCTTCTCCTACCACCCCTATTCTTTTGGTATGTGTGTATATTTATCTAACTTTATTTGAAAATGTCATTACACAAAAAAGTGTATATATATATACATATATATATATACATATATATATATACATATATATATATACATATATATATATATATATATATATATATATATATATATATATATATATATATATATATAATGTAGCAACGCAAATCGCTGTTCCAGCCTTCCTGTCCTCCTTATCAGCATCCGACGACCTTGTGAAGGAAATTCTACCTGCCCACTTACATCAGCTGGCAGGTGTACATGATCCCAATTTTACACGCTGTGCCACAGAGTGGGCCTCTCGTGCAGGCCAATCACATCAACCACCATCCCCAAAAGCCCACAAGCAATCCAGCTGGGATGGCCCTATTGTAGAAAAGTTGCTGCAGAGTGCCTGGGTGCTGCAACAACACAACACGACATTGCTCGCCTCACAGCAGTAGCAGCACCACATGCAGGGGCTTTCCGGTAAGCAACCCCAATGTCGGCAACTGGCACGCGTCTCACACCACACGCCCTCCGAATTGTTGTGGCCCTTCGCCTTGCTGCCCCAATCCACACCAGATATAGGTGTATTTGTGGCGAGGTGGTGGCTGACAGGTACGGCCACCATGGCCTACTCTGCCAAAGCACAGGGGGATGGCACTCGAGGCACAGTGAAGTTAACATCAAGAGGAGCCTCACCACAGCTGGATGCCCAGCTGAAAGAGAGCCCCGTTACCTAACGCCCCGTAACTCCGATGCTCTTATTGGTCGCCCGGATGGTATCACAGTGAACCCCTGGAAGAATGGCAAGCAGTTGGTATGGGACTACACGTGCGTGTCAACCCTGGCTAACACCTACATCAACCTCAGTGTTGCACAACCAGGTGGCGCTGCCACCCACAGGGAAGCAGCCAAATCCCGTAAGTATAGAGAACTGGATCACCACTACAATTTTGTCCCCATTGCTTCTGAGACACTCGGCGCCTGGGGTAAAAGTGCTACCAGTTTTTTGAAGGAACTGGGTTCTAGGCTCATTGAAACGACAAGGGACCCAAGAGCTGCAAGCTTTCTTTTCCAGCACTTCAGTGTGGCGATACAGAGGGGAAATGCGCACTGCATCCAGGGTTCCTGCCCGCCATCTGAGGAGCTGGAGGAACTCGACAACCTATGATAACCATCTTTGTAACCCATATGTAACTCCTTTTTTGTAACAAAGTTCAAATAAAGTAAATATATATGTGTACATACAAAAGAATGGGGGTGGTAGGAGAAGATAATATTAGTGTTAAGTGAGAAACCACAAGGTCTCATCTGAATACTTTTATTTTCTTCTCCGAGGCTATGGGTCCCCACATTGGCACCAGAGGTGGTACCCTCACAAACTTATATATATATATATATAGTGTGTGTGTGTGTGTGTGTGTGTGTGTGTGTGTGTGTGTGTGTGTGTGTGTGAGTGTGTGAGTGTGTGAGTGTGTGAGTGTGAGAGTGTGAGAGTGTGAGAGTGTGAGAGTGTGAGTGAGTGTGTGAGTGAGTGTGTGAGTGTGTGTGAGTGTGAGTGTGTGTGTGTGTGAGTGTGTGTGTGTGTGTGTGTGTGTGTGTGTGTGTGTGAGTGTGTGTGAGTGTGTGAGAGTGTGTGAGTGTGTGTGAGAGTGTGTGAGAGTGTGTGAGAGTGTGTGAGAGTGAGTGTGTGAGAGTGTGTGAGAGTGTGTGTGAGAGTGTGTGAGAGTGTGTGTGAGTGTGTGTGTGAGTGTGTGTGAGAGTGTGTGCGAGAGTGTGTGTGAGAGTGTGTGTGTGTGTGTGTGTGTGTGTGTGTGTGTGTGTGTGTGTGTGTGTGTGTGTGTGTGTGTGTGTGTGTGTGTGTGTGTGTGTGTGTGTGTGTGTGTGTGTGTGTGTGTGTGTGTGTGTGTGTGTGTGTGAGTGTGTGTGAGTGTGTGTGAGTGTGTGTGTGTGTGTGTGTGTGAGTGTGTGAGTGTGTGGGTGTGTGTTGTGTGTGTGTGTGTGTGTGTGTGTGTGGTGTGTGTGTGTGTGTGTGTGTGTGTGTGTGTGTGTGTGTGTGTGTGTGTGTGTGTGTACTCACCTAGTTGTGTTTGCGGGGGTTGAGCTCTGGCTCTTTGGTCCCGCCTCTCAACCGTCAATCAACAGGTGTACAGATTCATGAGCCTATCGGGCTCTGTCATATCTACACTTGAAACTGTGTATGGAGTCAGCTTCCACCACATCACTTCCTAATGCATTCCATTTGTCAACCACTCTGACACTAAAAAAGTTCTTTCTAATATCTCTGTGGCTCATTTGGGCACTCAGTTTCCACCTGTGTCCCTTTGTGCGTGTTCCCCTTGTGTTAAATAGACTGTCTTTATCTACCCTATCAATCCCCTTCAGAATCTTGAATGTGGTGATCATGTCCCCCCTAACTCTTCTGTCTACCAGCGAAGTGAGGTTTAATTCCCGTAGTCTCTCCTCGTAGCTCATACCTCTCAGCTCGGGTACTAGTCTGGTGGCAAACCTTTGAACCTTTTCCAGTTTAGTCTTATCCTTGACTAGATATGGACTCCATGCTGGGGCTGCATACTCCAGGATTGGCCTGACATATGTGGTATACAAAGTTCTGAATGATTCTTTACACAAGTTTCTGAATGCCGTTCGTATGTTGGCCAGCCTGGCATATGCCGCTGATGTTATCCGCTTGATATGTGCTGCAGGAGACAGGTCTGGCGTGATATCAACCCCCAAGTCTTTTTCCTTCTCTGACTCCTGAAGAATTTCCTCTCCCAGATGATACCTTGTATCTGGCCTCCTGCTCCCTACACCTATCTTCATTACATTACATTTGGTTGGGTTAAACTCTAACAACCATTTGTTCGACCATTCCTTCAGCTTGTCTAGGTCTTCTTGAAGCCTCAAACAGTCCTCTTCTGTTTTAATCCTTCTCATAATTTTAGCATCGTCCGCAAACATTGAGAGAAATGAATCGATACCCTCCGGGAGATCATTTACATATATCAGAAACAAGATAGGACCGAGTACAGAGCCCTGTGGGACTCCACTGGTGACTTCACGCCAATCGGAGGTCTCACCCCTCACCATAACTCTCTGCTTCCTATTGCTTAGATACTCCCTTATCCACTGGAGCACCTTACCAGCTACACCTGCCTGTCTCTCCAGCTTATGTACCAGCCTCTTATGCGGTACTGTGTCAAAGGCTTTCCGACAATCCAAGAAAATGCAGTCCGCCCAGCCCTCTCTTTCTTGCTTAATCTGTGTCACCTGATCGTAGAATTCTATCAAGCCTGTAAGGCAAGATTTACCCTCCCTGAATCCATGTTGGCGATTTGTCACGAAGTCCCTTCTCTCCAGATGTGTTACCAGGTTTTTTCTCACGATCTTCTCCATCACCTTGCATGGTATACAAGTCAAGGACACTGGCCTGTAGTTCAGTGCCTCTTGTCTGTCGCCCTTTTTGTATATTGGGACCACATTCGCCGTCTTCCATATTTCTGGTAGGTCTCCCGTCTCTAGTGACTTACTATACACTATGGAGAGTGGCAGGCAAAGTGCCTCTGCACACTCTTTCAGTATCCATGGTGAGATCCCATCTGGACCAACAGCCTTTCTAACATCCAGATCCAGCAGGTGTCTCTTGACCTCCTCTCTCGTAATTTCGAACTCCTCCAAGGCCGCCTGGTTTACCTCCCTTTCTCCTAGCACAGTGACCTCACCCTGTTCTATTGTGAAGACCTCCTGGAACCTCTTGTTAAGTTCCTCACACACCTCTCTGTCATTCTCTGTATACCTGTCCTCGCCTGTTCTAAGTTTCAATACCTGTTCTTTCACTGTTGTTTTCCTTCTGATGTGACTGTGGAGTAGCTTTGGTTCGGTCTTGGCTT